TTTATTTATTTATACTCGGGGCTTCATTGTTAGGGTTAGGTTATTGAATATGAAATAAATATCCATAAAATATAAACGAAGGGTCGTCAGTTTAACGGTCGACCGGTCCTGGAGTTGACCGTTAGAGGCCGCTAACGGTTCACTGTGCGACCAGAAGCGGCGGTTCCTCTGCAGTCGTTAGTTTGTCCTTTCCTGTTGTTAGGCAGGTTGTCAGGGGCAGCGCACCAGCCAGGTAGCTAACACGGGATTACGGGACTCCAGTCAATGATGACACATGTATTTATCAAAGAAAACGACTGCCGGCGTTCCTGCTTTTCCTCCTGGAGCTGCCCTGTTCTCTTGGGTAAACGCAGCAGAGACGACAGGGTCGACTTTTTATCGAAACAGCCCGCGGTTTGCAGTGGGCTCTGCCCCGTAGTTAGCTAAGGTTTTTTTTTTTTTTTTGCTAACGTCAAGCAGCCAGCTAGCTTTAACGTTATCAGGTAGCAGCGTAAACAAAAAAGGGATAAACATTGGTAGCAACGTAGCCCAGTAAGTAGACACCTCCAGCTTTCCATTGCGCCTGATTTGCGACCCTTTTTTGTGCGAAAATGGAAGACGTTCAGGAACATTTAATGGAGCAGGAAGAGTACGAGGACAGCGACAACCCATTAGCAGCCCCCTGCAAACCCCCTGTGCGCTCCACCCGACTGCACGTCCAGAGGAGCAGTATCTGCTCTCGGGCTTATTTCGTTGTGGTTATGGTCTTCTTCCATGTGTATATCCTGAATGTTATCGGCCTGCTGCTCTACGTGCACTACAACAACGGCCCCGGGGATCTGGTCAGTGGAGACGGGGCCACTTCAGCTTCATCCAGCGAGAGCGGGGCCCCTTTGCCCCATCCTGACCCAGCTTCAAGAGAGCTACATGTGGAGGATTATAGTGACAGCTTCAGTCTCCCTCGTATTGAGGGGATACGGGTGAGAAAAAAAGGGATAATCTCAGTAAGATGGAGTAGTATTCGGTTTTATGGATGATGAGGGGAAACATCCCACTGTCATATGTTAACCAAGTTACGAGGTATGGTCACTGATATTTTACATCAAGCAAACTTTAAGGAATTCCTTAATATAAAAATACTGTAACTATATATATATATATATATTTAAAACAACTCACTATCAGCATCCAGACTTATTGTTTATTTCCTCCCTTGCTAATAACTATACATATCCACTACAACCTGAAAAGCCATTAATGCTCATCCCTGTCAATCATAGCTGAAGTTTAGAGAACTGAATCCGTGTCGCAAACATTTGAAACATTTTAAAATCATGACTGAGAGCATCACCAAGAAGGCTGGCTCTGTACTTGGTCTCGAGTCCGCGGTGGAGAGGAGAACGCTGAATGAACTGTTATCCATCAGAGACAATGATCAGCACCCTCTCCATCACACAGTGGTCAGACAGCGGAGCGCCTTCTCTCACAGGCTGTCGAAGGATACAGCAAATCTTTCCTGCCACATGCCACCACACTGTACAATACCAGCTAAAACTCTGGTCATAATAATGCATCTCACAAGCACCTTATATGTTTTATCTGTCCACTGCACCCTTATATTTTTACTTGGCACTACAGTTATACTGTATTTAACATTTTACATTGTTTATTATTGCTTTTTTTTCACATGTCTAGGTTGTTTCTTTTCTTATTGTGTTGTTACTGTGTGTAATGCTGCTGCTACACTGCAGTTTCCCAGCTTGGGATCAATAAAGTCCATCTATCTATCTATCTATTTATCTATCTATCTATCTGTCTAGCTATAGCATTGTCTATGCATGTGAACCCCCATGTGAACGTGTTGATAATGTCTCTTCATTTTCAGGTGGGTCATGTTCAGCAGGTGAGCCTCGTGTCAGGGAGAACACATGAGATGAAGACGATCAGCCTGAAACCTCTCCTGTTTGGTGAGTGTGTGCGCTGTAGTCTGATCTGTTGTTCGCCAATAAAGGGTACTTCATCAGGATTTAGAACACAACATTTAATTCTTTTAAAAGCAATACAAATATAGACCAGGAATATTTACTTAAAATTCACAGATATGTACATTTTCTATAAAACATCTTTTTTTTTTTGACCTCCACTGCCTGAGAGACACACTGTTGATCCTTCTCGAGCTCCTTTGTGACCAGCTTACTGAATATCTCTTCAATCATCACAGAAATTTGAGCATAATTTACAGTCGTAGGACGTTCTTAAATGTATGTCTATCCTTTCTCTAGCTGTTTCACATCTCAGTTCTTTTTTAAATTGTTCTAAGCATATAATCCTAGCTCCTGCATCTGTGATGTTTCCATTTGCGTGCGGCTGCCGCCAGGTTCTTGTCTCGTCTGTGCCAGGCGTATGCCTTATTGACCACCAGGCGCTCCCCTTGCACTGTGCCTGTCACTAGGAACGTCCCGCCTCGTGGGTGGTTGCGCGTCATGTTCCTTACACAGGTGGCATCTCTCTCCAGCCACAGCTGGATGCGGGAGCGGATCTGCCCACCTAACAGGGGTCCGTGCTTCAGAACGTCCAGTTTGGCAGCCAGCGAGAACTGAGACAGGCTTACTGGACTGTATTTGAGCCGTGTTAGACGCAGTTTCACAACTTGGGAGGAAGGAAGCACATAAACAAAAAGCATGATTGGCATGAAAAACATATAAAACATACAATAAAAAAATAGGTCCAGACAGGAGAGAAGAGGTGAAAGAATATTGATACTCACCAAAATCACTTCTACAAAAGGTCTCCAGTATATCTTTTGAAGAGGAGGCCTCCTCCAGCTCACAATCCCGACAGCTTGCCTGGGGAACTGAAATAGTCAATCGTTTATTAAATGAAGTCAACTCAAGTGTATGTGTCTATGTAGTCAGGTTCTTACCTCTACGGCCCCCTGTCTGAACAGTAGTGTTGGTGATGGAAGAGATACACATGAGATGGTCTGCAGGATATTGGTCACAGCGTAGAATTTCTGGCCAGGGGTAGCCATAACAGTTCATGATTGGTGCACAGCTGTCCCGCACAGATTCACATAAACTCCTGCAGGGTGATATAAACCTGATGATAAAGAAGAGATGGAAAGGGTTGTGGGCAGCATTGAATAGATGAAAGGATTTGAATCAATAGTGTAGTGGTAGGGAACAAACAAGACTGGGTTAGGTAACATTTGGTTGCTTGTTTTTCTGTGTTTCTAAACTGAGAGGTGCTAATGTGACAGAAAGCAGATTATAGTGCTTTGATGCCATTGTTTCAGTCTGAAACCAGGGCCTTTCCTCAGATACCAGCACCAATTTGCATAACTTTCAAAAGGTGTTAACCCTTGATGACCCTTCTCCTATTCAACTTTGCCATTCATCTAAAATCTTTTTCTTGTCCTATTGAAAAAGCTGGTCAGCCTCTCTGGTTAGTGGTGAGTTTTGGTTTTAAACTAGGCCCCTGGCTACCATACTTCTACTACTACAGTACTATCAAGTGCATTGCAACAAAACAAATTGTGGGCAGCTGTCCTGTGAAAATCAGAATTCTTCAAACTGTGACTTGAAAAGGTTGACAATATTTGGTTAATTGAAAAAACTAAATGTCTAAACTTACCTGTCAAGGCAGATAGGTGCAAAGAGAGAGCAGAGAAAGATGCGGGCGTCAGGGTGGCACTCTCTGGCAAGTAGTGGCAACCAGCTGGCGCTCTGTTGCACAGCCTCAGCTGGAGACTCGTGGCCCAGCAGGTTGGGCATCCTCATGGTGTCATAACCGATGTTTTGGCACAAGGCCATGCCTGACGGGATAGGGACACAGCGAGAGGAACTGCGGGGCTCCCAAAGTCCACTTTCGCCTATAGAAAGCATTGACCTAGTAGAAGTACCAGGCTCCCCCCACGCCTCGCCATCCTCTCCTGCTGCAGCTCCCGGTCTAGAAACACGAGTATCTCCAAATCCAGTTTCTGTGTTTCCCTCAATACTTGCCCTGTCCCCGCCCTTGTCCTTTACTCCAGATCTAACCCTACCCTCAGCCCTCACTCGTCCCTCTGACCCTTCCCTTACTCTTCCAGGACCAAGCATTATTGTGCTGCTAGGCCCAGCAAGCAGGAGGAGAAAAAGTAGAGGGAAGGTGGAGATAAAATGAGGGCAGAGCATTGCAGTCATCCTGGGACAGAAGTTGGAAAGGAGGAGTAATCCTGTAGTGCGTCTCTTGAGTGAATGAAGACCCCTGTGTGACAGTGCAGGAGAGGATGGCAGAATAGGTGTATTTATAGTGGGCGGTGATTACATTTGCATAGGAAGGGGTAAGGGGAGGTGTGGAGAACAGCAGGGAGAAGGGTTGGGGCACACATTAAAGTGTTATTAGAGACGCGAAACCAGTTGCATTTATGAGCAGATTTAAGTGAGTTTGACAGAGCTCGAGATTAGTAAGGTCGATGGATTGGCATTTGGATACTTTTGGCTTTCTGCCATTTCCATCCCCACAGCTTGAATTGAGGAACCGACTGGCCCTCATGTAGTGAAACTCCTCCACCCCTTCCATCATGCGTTTTCTTTCAACCCACACCTAACTACCCTGTCCCGCCCTGACCTCTCTGCTTTTTAAAGTTTTATTTTTTATTTTTTTTTATCCAACTAAGAGGGAAAGTTTGGATGTTCTTGTAAATACTTGCTTAGTTGCTACTTGTTTATTATTCATGAGGATATTAAGGAGAGAATTCAGCTGCCCACATGGTGAGATTATTGCAGAGCTGTAAACCTTCAAAGGAAGATAATCTACATGCAACAGAAACTATTTTGATAATTGTTTAAACATTTCAGACATTGTTTTAGTAAAACAATGTCCTTAAATTCACTGCTGTATCTGCATCTTCTCCAAATGTGAAGATTTGCTTCTTTTTCCCGCTTGTTCTACATCATAGTAAGTATTTTGGGGGGGTTTGAGTGCAGGTCATAGAAAACAGACATTTGATCACGTCACCTTGGGCTGTGGGACATTTTGTGGGAATTTCTCCCTATTTTCTGATGTTTTATATTTATCTATTATTTGTGAAAGTAATCAGCAGATATAGCAATACTGAAAATAATGAGTAGTTTAAACTCTAGTGCGCACTGCTTGTACGTTTTGAGTGCGTGTGCGTGTGAACATATGTGTAGGACACAAACAAAATTGGTGTCGTCCTGCTGTGTAGCCATGGCCTGATTCCTGTTCAGACAAGCAGGTCACTTCCTTTCCGGGGGAGAAAGAGACAGTGGTGGGAGGGAGAAGAGGAAGGCTCAGTCTCCCTTCATTCATATCAGTTATCCAGATTAATGAGGCTTGACTGGACAATAGGAATTAACCAAGTGGGTACAGTGTAAAAGACATGGGTGACAAACAAGGTCTCTACTGTACAGGCAGCCAACCTGCCGGAAGCCTTTTATTAAGAGGGGAAATGACTGACAGACATGGATGGGTTGCTGGAAGAGAACAGGAGGGAACCACGAAACACTAATTTGTGCCTAGACCTGAATAAGTTCAACAAATGTATGTAATAGTTCAAATAAAATAGCATTTTTGCCGGTGTAACACATTTTCTAGGAAACCCAGGTGAACCTACCCAAAAAAAATGTTTAGGGACAGACATCAAAATTATACCATAGTGGAAAAAAGATATTGGCTGTTTTGTATGAACGAGTATCTTTTACTGCTTTGCACTAATTAATATTAACAGTTACTGACTCCCAGTAGACTGCACTGTTTCCACCCTGCTCTGGGAGAAGTCCAGTGTCGTCACTCATTAAGCCTGCCTGTGGGATAGGCTATACCACAAATAGCTCACTGGGGACTGACAAAGGGGAATAGCTTGTACTCGTTATATACACAGTCTATCTATACCATCACTAAAGAGTTCCTGTGCTCTAACACCTACTAAATCATGCAAGAAAGAAAGATATGATTAATTATCACCAAGTGTTGTTGCTTCAAAGTTGAAACGATTTTATGAGAAGAAGTTTATTAGATTTGTATTGTTTTTTAAGAGCCCACACATCCTAATTAACATCCTAATTAGCATACACTGATCAAACTATCTCAGAATTGCCCTTTCACACTGAAGGGTTTTGTCAGGCAATCTAAAGTAATCCATTTAGTCTGACAGATCAAACCAATACTGTCCACAGAGATCTTCTAATCAGGTTGTGGGTGTGAATTTTCTGACTTGAGATACTTTAAAATGAATTTTAAGTAATGGCATAGACATTGATAACCAGGTTACTGGAGTGGTTTAAGTTTATTTGTTCATCATCCTGTGTAATCTTCATGTGTGAATCATTTATACACAACAGTTGTGAACAAGCACAGACAGTCAGCCATACTTTCAATGTTTTTGATTAGTGTTGCATAACCTCCAAGCCACTCTTTTTGATAGATTTTATATCCTTTGTCCACACTCTAATCTCTCTGGGGGGGAAAATATAGACTCCACAGATTCCATATCATTTTTAATGGAGAGAGTAATTGTGTCCATTAGATGATTTGGGTGAGTATGTCAAATAAATGTGTCCTCATTTCCAATTAGGATCTTTGAAAAGTATTAGCAGCTTCTAACCACACATGTCCAAGGCTGCAGTGTGTCCTAACATTCGCCTCTGTTGTCTTTTTCTGGTTCCTGTCAGAAATCCCTGGCTTCCTGTCTGAGGAGGAGTGCCGTGTGGTGGTGCAGCTGGCTCAACTCAAGGGTCTGATGGAGAGCCAAATGACAGCACCCAGCCAGGGACAAGAGGAGTCAAACCAGCCACTACTTTCTATCAGCACAGAGGAGGTCTTCAGTCTGTTGGACCTAAACCAGGATGGGCTGCTTCAGAAGCAGGAGGTGACAAGATGGACATTTCTTGTATCCGTATGCCTGTAAAGCTGGAGGAGAAAAATCCATCTTAGTTAAAAATGTCAGAACCTGTTGTGCTTTTTATTGAAAATAGAAAAACATTTCTGGTCTCTCCTTCAGATTGTGAGTCACTTGCGCTCTCGAGATGGAACTTGGTTGAACCCAGACAATTTACGGCAGATACTTTCTGGTCTGGAAGCCTGCCCAACAGGTTAGTACCCCTGTGGTTTGTGTGTGTCAGTACATTTCTGACGGTTCTGATGCCATATACATATACATAACACAGCATCAGAGAAGTTACGGGGCACATACAGTACAAGTTTGAAGGACTTTAAAAAAAACTAAGTTTGTGAGACACCAGGAAAAACTGATTGTGACCTAAAAGGTTTAATGAATTCATCTTTTAATCTTTAAGGGTAACTTGATTAATTTAAATGAATTTTTCTTAATTATGATTAAGCTCTTTTAGACCAAAAATGCAAGAAATGTTAGAAAAATGAGCAAAGATTCAATCCAAATAGAGAGACTGTTGGTACTCTTTGTTCTCTAATTTCTAAAGTCTAATGTGTAATGGATAAATCTGGACGTTTTATCCCTCTTTGTGTGTGGCTTAGGGTTAGGGTAGGTTAGGGTTGTGTGTCTGTGAGTGTTTCACCATTGGTTTTGTATTGGTAAGAGTAAGTGGCTGACGGGTGGCTGTGATTGCGTGCAAGTCTTTGTGAGTGGCAAGGCCGGGAAAGAGGTGACACCGTTTTGACCTGATGCCATTGTGCCAGGCGTTGCACACATCCCAGTCCGGATGTGCCTCATCCTATCTCATTAAAAACTGATTATTCTCCAACCCCTTCTCTTAATTTTCCCCCGGATCCCCCTCCCCCCACTCCCTCCTCCACACTCGTTTTTCGTTAACCCCCACCCCCACCCCAACTGCCCAGCCACCTCTTCTCTGGCACCCCAGAGCTATTGTTGCGGCTGGGGCGCGGTCTCCCAGGAGGTGAATTGTGCTGTGGGTGTGTTTCGGAATTTTCATTATCAGGTTTGTTCTGTGGTATTCAGAATCATGTTTGTGACAAAGAACTGGTTGAAGGAATTTGGTATGGAAATAAGAGAGAAGGGAGGCTGTTTAAATAGTCCTACTGTTTGACTACTAGTTGTCCAAAATTTTTAGGTCCTAAGATTAATATCCTGAATGCTGATTAGTAGTTGTGATTGCTTGATATAGTTGATGATTAGTAAATAATGGATGGGTCTATTCTAAATGGATTTGTGTGTTGTTGTTTTCTTGTAAGGATGCTCCATTTGGAGGAGGGAGCGGTTCGAGGCGTTGTGGTTTTTTTGTATGTTTATGTGTTTTCGCGCATGCGCACAGTGTACAACAGCAAATGCAGAAAGCTCATATTCTATTTCAGCATGTATTAGATAATACATACGTGGTCTTTACCTAGGTTCCGGGAATCCATGTTGAATCGTGTGCTTGCACACACTCAGGAACAGGTAACTGTACATTACACACATTCCTGTCACATTCTTACAGAAGCAGCTCATACCTCATAGATTTGTTATTGTACTGATGATGCTATGTTGTTTTTTGTGCTCTTTGCGGAGTGCTTTTTTCTTTGTTTTCTAGTGGATGAGATAGCGCGAGCTGAGACACGTCTGCCTCTGCATTGGGTGAATCTGTATGTATGCCTGCTTGTCTAGGTGATTCGCTATTGATGTATCATTTTGTGAAATGACTTCAGTAAGCCTACGGCGTACGTATCGAGGAAGCCCTCCTCATTTCAGAGACTACCTGACGGGCGACAACATGGGCTGGCAGTGAACACAACGTGGCTCTATGCGGAGTCTTCATTGCAGGTTATTATGTATATGTTATCTCAATTTATCGTTTTTGTCTTCAGTGCTTTGCAAGTGTTTGATATTTTTAGAGTATTTATATATTAATTTTCACAGAGAACCGTAATTATCTCCCAAGTTTAGATTAGCTTTTATCATTATTGACCTATGATTTGATAACAGTTCATGGTTTTATAACAACGTAATTGTTGACGAGGTTTTGACGAGCCTCTGTGCCAATTACTACAAATTAACTAGTAGTACTCCAGGTAATACTAGTCACTTGCAAATAGTGCTTAATCCACTTATTTACTGGTTTTGTGCGTTTTGTGATTTCTTTTAGATCCAGTAATTAATAGTGTTTTTTTGTTTGGTCCATATTATTATACATTTTTTTTTTTTAATCATTTTATTTTTTTTTCTTCGTCTTATTTTTTCTTCCTATTTTTGAGTGCTGTTATTGTTTCTGCTTTCTCTCGGGAGGTTTTTGTTTTAGTCAGTAGGCTTTATCCATGTTTTTTGCTACCTCAGCTCTGTAGGGTGTATGAGGTGTTGAGACCACCTTTCCTGTGCAGCAACCGTGACCTACTGAATTTGAGATGTAGGGATTCTTTTCACCACTTTCGCAAGTCATGATAACCAGCAAAGCCTCTTTTATCTTTACTTGCCACTTGGTGAATATTGGAGATGAGATTTGTACAATTTTGAGCCGTTTTGTATATGGCTGTCTGTATAGTGATGGCAGTGGTTGCTGACCATTGACTATATGGAGAAGTTTTTCTGAGATCTACACGGAAGTTAATCAATTATGGACCGAATAAAATGTTTAGTATCTATTAAGTCTGTTGTGTGTCATGTTTGGGTGTGTCCTTAGGCAGCTTGAATATATGGACGGAGTTAGATTTGACAGACTGAGTTATGTTGGGACGTGCAGCAGGAGGAACCTGAAAATGATATATCCTGGTGTGCTGGTACAGCTCTGTCTGCACTGGTTTTACAACTCGAATTTGACGTTACTGAGGTAGTAGTGTTAGTAGAATCAGAGGTGCTTTAACGTAATAATTCTTTTGCTCCTACGGACATATCCATGTGTATCTGACTCTCAGTATGGTTGGATTTTAGTGTGTGGCTTATGTCTTTTATTAGTGAATGTCATGTTATCTATCAAATTGTTGGCAATTTCAACTACGCCGTAGGTACTGAATCCAGGGAGACCCAATGCATTTCTAAGTGGTGTACATGTTTTAAGGTTCGCAGTGTTCTGTTGTATAGTTGTTTCACCTTTTGAGCGATGAGGTGGGTATACTATTTCTAGTCTATCTATTATTTTATAGTGGTGGTAGTCATGTTCTTTATTCTTGTTTTACTTTATCGTCCTGGAAATTATATTTTTCTTACCGTCTATATTTCTTGGTAATTAATTGTAACATAGAGATCTTCTTTTTGCACATTGAAATTTTGAAAATAAAAAGCTTGTTTTCATGTTTAATTCTTTATTCTGCATAGTGACAGTATTGTAGTTGTTGTACTGGAGGAGCACTTGTTAAGTGGAATTATAAAAAGTATTCTCCAATGTTGGAAGTGTAAATGAGGTTTTTTCTACTATTAGTTTTTCTTCTTGGAAATTATGCTCTGGTTATAAATGCTGTGATGCGATGGTGATAATGTTAAAGGTGCCATTTTTTAAAGTGGTGGTATGGTTATATAGCTTTGTAATTCTTAGTTATTCCTCTATCAAGGTTAATATGATACAGTTGATGAATTATGTAGTTAGTTAATTAGAATATAATAGTAATAATTTAAGTAGTTGAAGATATAACATACGAAGCATACTGGTTGTAGATAATTGTTTATAAGTGGGTTTTGACTACAGTCCTGTGTCCATAACAACATTTAGGCCAATAGTTTTACTTGATGCAAGATGAGTATACTATTTTGATTCATTTGGTACAGAATAGAAAGCTTTGTAGTTTGCAGCATGAATACATTTTATGCCAGAAAATCATAGTAATGCTTTAGTGCGTATTAAGTTCTTTTTGGTTTTTTGAGAAATTTACTTATGTCCTCTAAATCTTAGTTGCACATGTGGTTTTGATGCCCTGAGATAGTTTGTTTTTTGCTTCTCTATGCTTGTTTCACTCTATTAGCTTTCCTACACTTATCATTCTTCCTCGTGCGTCAATTGCATTGTTCTATCTTCGTCCCATCGTGCCTTCCCTTATTTGGTGGTTGATGGGTTTGAAGCTAGATGAGTAGTTCCCTTGAGGGGTCAGGGGTGGCGTCGTCCAAGGTCAGGCGTGGGGTGTGAATTGGGTGGACTCAACAGTGGGTATTGATGGATCAAGAGTCTACCAGTGCGAGCGAGGGTCTCGCTACTGTTGTGAGTCTAGGTTTGTTCACAGGAGGCATCAAAGCTGATCGGTTTGCACGGAGAGCATAGGTGGGTGTGAGGCGAGGTTGGTTTTTGTTGGTTGTTTGGGAATTTGGCGGCTCTCATCTAGCAGCGACTCCATCTTTATGGTTCTATTTAGCCGGGCCTTTTTGTTGAATTGAACAAAGTTGACATTGTATATATTGTTCAATACGTGGTCTCGTGTGTTCTTAGAGCACTATAGATTTAGGTAGTTTCCAGTAGGCTGATACATTTTGCGTACAATGTGCAGAACGCTGTATGTGGAATAATTAAATTGGACTAAGAACATGACCCCCAGAATATCGGTCGTCTCCTTGTTCATAATTCTGATGACGCATTATATTTGTTGTCTGCGTCAAGGACCTACTTGCTTGGTATAGTTCCATTTTTGATTGGTCCTTTCCTTCAAGTTTGTTGTGTATTTGAAATGGTTGTTGTTGATTTTTTAGAGGAGAGATTATTGGGTGGTCATATGCATGGGATTGTTGCTCTCATATGTTTGAAGGTATTTAGTTATATTAAGTTTATCAGAAGTTTGATATGTTTTGAGCATGAAGTGAGATTGGCTCAGTTTGCTCTTGATGAATATTGTGAGTTGAATTTGTACACTTTTATTCTGATAGTAATTATTTTTGGGAGAATGGTTGTCTGGTGAATTTATGTAGCGAGTTGGATATTATAAGTATCTATGTGCATTGAGATGTAGCGCTGCTTATGCAGCTTTCCATTTTGTAGGTTTTTATCTTATGAGCATCGTTACTTCTGTTTGCAGGTCTGTTTTAATTTTTGTATATATGAATTTAGAGCTTAGTGTTGCGACTGGAGCCAGTTTCTACCAAATATTCATTGTGAATGTGTTCACGAGGGGAAGTCTTTTTGTTTTGTTTTCCTCAGTTTTGTTTTTTCCAGAGTTTTATCATTGAAATGTTATTTAATAAAGGAGTTTGCACACGTACTTGAAAATGCAGGACTCTTTTTGACTGGAACATAAAGATTGCTTTTCACACCTGGCTGTGGGAGGCGCGGTCCTCAGGTGTAATGTGTAATATGACGTGGTGTGCTTAGCGTAATTATTTAAAACTTTTCTCACTTTATCCTCTCTATTCTCAATAAATATTTATATTGTCTAGAGTATGTAATATGGTTTGTGAGGTGTAGTGAAGGTTTATTCCAGTAAGTGATTTTAAGTTATGAGATGAAGTCATATTTTATTAAAGCATTAGTTTTGCTACTGATATTTGTCCGATGTATTTATTTGTATTGATGTTCTAATGTTCTAATTTAAATTATTATATGGATTATGCATGTTTTGTTTATCAGTGTGGTTTTGATGGTTGTTTGCGTTTTGCATAGTCAACATGTTGGATTGTATGACAAGTGATTGTCTCGTATCTGATATTGTTTATTTTGTGTTGTGAGCCCAACGCCAAATACAGACATTTGCGAGCAATTTTGCTTGATGATGTAAGTATGATAGTATATTTCAGATGGTTATCATGTCATTTGTGGTATGGGGTATTGACTTACTATCTGTTACAGAATCCTGTTGGCACCAGTTCCTACAGGTCCTCTCCCATCTGCGAGCACATGTTAAAAGAACCTTTGATGGATCCTGCCCCTGTTGTCCTAATAATAATTAGTAGCGGAATCAAATCCTCTTTTTTGTAATGATAAACAGACAAAAACATTTTCTCTTGTGAGTTCTTACTCCTCTGCAATCACAGTGCTAATTGGTTAGGGTCAAGCATCCTTCACTAGAGGGAAGGGTGGTGCTGAAGATTACAGAGACTACAGCTACAGGGGGCAGAAAGTTCCATTAAGATTTATTTGTTAAGGTTAATTATGCGGGCACCTGAAATCTTAACTACATCCCAAAAAACAGTTTGAGAACTCTTTAAGTTGATAAAGTAACAGGAGAATTTGTTCGGGGGCCACCTGGAGCCCTCCCCTGCACCCCACCGGTGGAAACCCTCCACTCAATCCCCGCCGTTACCGAGATTAAGAGCAAATAACCAGAGCAAAAAGGACATCCAGACAGCGCTTCAGGGGCATTTATCCGCAGTTATTTGTGGTGTTTTCAGGTCAAGGACGTATGCGGTGTAATAAACCCATCCTTGTGACTTCTCTCTTTGACTGAGTGGTGCTGCTGATGCTGTGCGCACTGCACTGGGCGCGGCTTCAGCCAATCACGTCAGCCGGCGGCGGGAGGAGGCGGGGGGAGCGGGCGGCGGGGGGGGGGGCTCAGTCAGTTACAGCTAACGGACCGTGGAGCAGGTCACACTCTCCGTCTGTCGAACCGCGGCATCACGTACAGGTTTATGGACTTCTGACTGGGCTGCTTAAAAGAAATCATCCTCACCCAAAGGCGCAGTATCATTTTCATTTAACTGTTATCCATGAGATTCTTCAGGCTTACCTTCAAGTGCTTCGTCGACTGCTTTTGAATCTCCTTTGTCAACGGCTGAACTGACTGCGGCGCCTTGTGAAATTTTCCATCTCTTAACTGAGCTGAGGGTTTCCAACGTGTGAAAATCATAAAAAAAAAAAAAA